GTCAATTAACAGTTAAGTTACTGTCTCCGACAGTTAAATAACTGTTGGAGACAGTAATTTAGCAACGAATACAGTTATATTAATTAAAAATATTTTTTTTAACAATAAAAAAGTCAATTAATAGTTAAATTACTGTCTCCGACAGTTAAATAACTGCTGGAGACAGTAATTTAGCAACGAATACAGTAATATTAATTAAAAATATTTTTTTTAAGAATAAAAAAGTCAATTTACAGTTAAATTACTGTCTCCGACAGTTAAATAACTGTTGGAGACAGTAATTTAGCAACGAATACAGTAATATTAATTAAAATATTTTTGAAGAAAAAAAAAAAAAAACAGTCAATTAACAGTTAAATTACTGTCTCCGACAGTTAAATTAGCTGCCGGAGACAGTAATTTAGCAGCCAAGACTAGGGGTGTGAACGAGCCGAGCTCGAGCCGAGCTCGCCTCTTTTGGCTGGCTCGAGCTCGAGCTCGAGTCTATTTTGTCGAGCTCGAGCTCGAGCTCGAGCTCGTTGAGTTCTTCATTTTTTGGCTCGAGCTCGAGCTCGTGTTAATTTTGTCGAGCTCGAGCTCGAGCCAATTTCTTTCTTTTTTTTTTTTTTTTTAAATATTTTTTTATTATTAAAATTTATTTGAAAAAAATAAAAAATAAAAACTAAATTGTGATTATATATTTTTTTGATATTTGTATTTATTTCTATAATATTTTATATTATTATACATTATTTAAATAAAAATAACATATAAAAAATAAAAAAAAATAAAAAAAAATAAAAAAAAAAATAATAAATCCGGCTCGCGAGCTGGCTCGCGAGCTGATGAACAACTAAAATCCGGCTCGAGCTCGGCTCGTCAGAAAGCTCGAGCTCGAGCTCGAAAACCTCGAGTCCGAGTTCGAGCTTTTTACGAGCCGACTCGTCGAGCTCACGAGTCGGCTCGGCTCGTTTACCACCCCTAGCCAAGACAGTAAAATTAATTAAAATATTTTTTTTAAGAAAAAAAAAAAAAAAAAAGTCAACGCCGGAGACCCGGCGGTCAACGGCCGTTCCGGAAAAATTTTTCAGGAAAACAAAATTCAAAAAAAAAAAAAAAAAAAAAAAAAAGTCAACGCCGGAGACCGGCGGTCTCCGGCGGTCAACGCCGGAATCTGGCCGGAAAAAAAATATTTCAGAAAAAAAATTATTTTCAGAAAAAAAAAGTTTTGGGGGTTAATGTGATATATTTGTTAAAATCCGGGGTCAATGCGTAATATTAGGGAAGTTAGAGCATAATTGGTGGAATTGATAAGAATTAGGGTTAAAATTGGGGTCAAAATTGAAATCAGGGTTAAAATTGGTTAATTGATGAAATTGGGTTAAATTGGGGTGTAAATCATGAAATTGGAATTAAATTGAGTTTCAATGAATTGGGGGTAATTTTGGTATATATAAAAGGATTTTCCTTATTTGCAAATAAGTTTGAATGGGGTGGATTTATTTGGAAGACAAAAAATTTGGATGTCCCTATTTTAATTAAGTGCCCTTGTCATGGGCTTTTTTGTGATTACCCCTTATATATATATATATATATTTTTTTTTTCTAACAAATATGCCATTAGAATTGCAGTAATATTTTTTTTTTCTGTTTTTTATATATAATAAAGAAATCTAAATATGTGGAACAAATTGATAAATAAATAAAGATCAGAAAAATAACATTATTTAAATTTTTCTTATGCATGCCCTCAAATACATGAGCAGTCTGTGGGGGTTGGCTCTATCTTTTGTCTTCTTCCGTCGGCGGATGCATTGCCACCTGAGTTGCTTTATGAGATATTGGGCATCCAAATAGGACATGAATATATATATATGGGAATATTAGCAATAAACCCCTCTATCTAGTAAATGTATTTACAGAAAACCTTCTTTCCAAAAATAATTAGAGAAATTTTTTTTTATTATTAGCTTGGATAATTAATAAAGGTAATCTCTCAATTATACCCTTCCTCCTAACCTTAAATTTTAACATGTCATCTTACGCCGCTTCTCTTCTCTCTGCTCTATTCTCTCTTCTCTATTCTCTCGTCTCGTTCTTTCTTCTCTCTCTTTCTCTTTTTTTCTTTTTTCTTTTTTTTTTCTTCTGTTCTATTCTCTCTTCCCTCGTCTCTCGTTCTTTCTTCTCTCTCTCTCTCTCTTTTTCTTTTTTTTTCTTCTCGATCTACTTATTCTCTGCTCGATCAGAATTCGGCCCGCATCGTTAAATAATGCTCCGACGAATTGGCCGACATATTGGGTGAAAAACCGCTGCAGTCATCAGAATTGGACACAACTCTTTTCTCGTTCTGGATTGAACGAGAAGGAGCCTTCCCATTTGAAATATTTGTGGCAGGTTTCCCAAGGGCGAACAACCATCCATCACTCCGACCAATTCCAGCCTCAGTTGCCTTTGTCTGGTTCGAAACCAGCTAGTGTTACCTGCTGCCATTATAGATCAACTATGATTTTTGTCTATTTTATTAGTAAATAATAATATTTTGCGACGGCGTGGGATACAGATGTGTGGTGTGGCGACGTTGTGGTGACGATGGGGAGGCTGATCTAGGGTTTTTTGGTGGATCGGGCGGAGGACGGCGCGTGTAGAGAAATTCGCGCAAGCTGGAACCTTAATCGACTATGTTCATATTCAATAGTCGGTTAAGCTAATCGACTATGCTCTGGTAGTCGATTAAGGTTGATCGGCTCCAATTTTTTATTTTTTTTTGGATTTTTTGTTTATTGATTCCAATTGTATAAATCAATTATAATGTTTGTATATTTTTTTGTATTTTGTAAAATATTGTTGATTTTGCATTTTTTGTTTGCAATTGTGATTTGTTATGTTTAGTAGCAGATTCTTAATCGACTATGCTTCATCATAGTCGATTAATATACCTAATATAGAAAAAAAATTAAAAAAATAAAGAATTTCCTTAATCGACTATGCTCCATAGTCGATTAAGGAAACTGATACAGAAAATACAGAAGAAAAAAAAAACGAAAAAAAAAGACTGAGTGCGTGACACAGTGATGATGTGACGGGGTGGGTGGGGGCAAAGCTAGAATATATAATGACTGAAAATGAGTGTGGGCTTTTCTCAAATGGAAATAAATATTTTGGGCCTCTCTCCATTAAAAATAAGTAATGAGGGAAATATTTTGGGCCTCTCTCCATTAAAAATAAGTAATGAGGGGGTTTTCACAAAGAGCCCATATATATATATATATATATATATATATATATATATATATATATATATATATATATATATATATATATATATATATATATATATATTACTACAAACACAATTACTTAAAAGTTTAACTCTGGATACTGTCAGTGTTGTTAGTACTAAGCACTGTTTTCTAGGCAAATAGTGTAAACAAGGACATCATTAGTCCTATATTTATTACATGGATATGTTTTTCAAATCTACCGTAAAAACATTAACTCAGAATCGAAAGAGGAGAGCTCGGGATTTTATCTTCCTCTATGCGTGGATTC